ATTATTTTTGAGATCTCGTCATCAGGTCAGTACATATCTAATGGTTAAAATAGTAGCGAAAAACTGAAATACGCAGTGAAGATTGCTTAGTGAAATGCAAAACTTGGAGACACGAGCGACTGGTTGTCTTCGCCCCCACGTCGCATCTAGTTGGATGATGCGAGACAGTCTAGAGGGCCGTTGAGTGGCTTAGCCGGTCGATTGGCGTCACATGACCAAGGCAGACTCAGCCTTCAAACGAAACTTTTTTGACAGCACGGTACCGGGTCTCGCAGAAGTATAACGACTGTCTGATGATAAGATCCCGATAACAATAATGTTCGTCAACTGTGGTTGGCGCCACTGCTTTGCCCAGAGCATTTCGACCGGTCCCTCTCTCAGCTACACTTAGCGTCATTATGTTGTTAATAAAATAATTGCTGGCACACAGTCGCCAGCGGGCTGACGAAACATGCTATGATGGTTCGCTTGGACACAGCGCGTGCTCTGACTTAAGTCTGACACCAAAGCCACTGGAATATTGGGGCTAATCAACTTAGATTCTGTTGGGAGGAAATTCGCATAGAAAACCTGCGCACACCAGAGTGATCTGAAGTAATCAGCCCACCAAATAAACCGCTGGATGCTTATAACAAATTAGCTCTAATTTAACACGCTACTACGATCCTCACCCACTGAGTACGCAAGTTTAGAGGTAGTCACTGAAATTTTTTAAAGTGATGTCGTGAATGCATCCAAGAATGGCGGACAACATTGCAATGATAAGGCCAAAATTATTGGAAACGCGTGTGTTCGTAGCAAGAACATAGTAGCATAATGGCTAGATATCGATTAATTTCTACCCGTAAGTAATAGAAAAACTGCTTGCAAATAGTGTACAACAGACGTCGTGATTGCTCATCTGTCTGACTGTCTAATTCCTAATTTGGCTACACACAGCAGGTCTTTTGAACAGCTTCGGATTGATCACTTTTAACCGTGTCGGATGAAATACTATTGTCGCCAAGCTGAAAAAAGTCTCAGATTAGCCTGACAACAACCGGTGATCACGTGCAAGTTTTCACGTGGAAAAAGGGTAACTGAGTAGCAATACGGTGAAACACGGGACTGCGTAAAGACAGATGACGGCGTTGTGATATTTGAGAGTGTGGTTGAAATGAATGTAGGTAAACACGGGTTCGAAAGTCCTATGGGGTTTTTCAGTCACACAGATTTGTGGCTATCGTGGCTGAGTTCCAAGTGGTTCAGCGAGGGATAACTTCCAGTGGTTCACAGTCCGTGATCAAATTACAAATGCTTGGTAGGCTGGATGGAAGGAACTTTATATTTACGTGGGGTGACCTGTCTCAGTAAGATGTTTTTCTGTTTGTGAACTTGTACACGATTATTTGTTCCACGTCCCAGTGAGTGCTCATGCATGCTGCTTGACCAGCGCCTCGCAGTACTACTAACACAGTATGTTCAACAGGAGTGTACGAAAGGGTAGTGGCAGGTTCCGAGATTTGCAACATTATAGCAGGGGTAGTATTGAAATTTAAGAAAAAATCAGTTACATTTTAAATTGGTAGTATATCCTGGGCTTCTTGTAAGACGTAAATGAAGTTCTTTTCAAAGGGGAGCTCAAGACTTGCGCGCTTCTGTGCAGAGAACACCTTCCATATTAGTTCCACGGACTGCATTATGGATGGCCGGTCGTGGTAAACACGTGTTCTACAAAATCCGGTCGTTAGAACCCACATTTCTGACCAGTTTGGCTTTACATTTTATGAAGTTGAGTGTTGGGAGTTGAGAGTCGTCGAAGTGATTGCATTCTTCTGTTCAAGCTTTCTTCGTGTAAATCTTACGCGTGTAATAATTCTATCGTCTTTTTTACGGATAACGAGATCTGAGAATTTCAGTCGGCCGTCGTGTTGTGTTCAGTTTCCGGTTCGAATGGAATGACATGGTTCGTACCAAAAAGCCAACAAAAAGCTAACATGGCCTTTTAACTTACGTGTACCTATCATCGGATAAGCTACACTTCTAGATTTGATAGTACTGTCAAACATTTTTACTGTATGACCGCTTTCCACACAATTGACTTCCAGCTGCTACGTCAAATCGTTCGTGTAGTTCTGAACACAAGTGACCAATAGTTTGAATTCTCATTGATGATCCTAACAGGAAGACTTGACCCTGAATACACGGACGACCAGCCTTGCTCAAATGCGCCTTGATAAATTAGCAATCCTACCATGAGTGTTGGATGTTGTAGGGTACATAATTTTTTTAACAGCGTGGACGAAGACAGTGGTTTCAATTGTACACACACCGTCCTTACAAGTAACTGTATTTGGTAACCTATGGGCTAACCTAAGTGGCTCAGACTACAGGGGCCTTTCAAACTTTCACAACTCCCGAGGACAAAGACCACAGAAAACAGCCCATCCGGTATTTTATCTTGATGTGAACAGCCATTGCAGAGCAGCTGCTCGAATGTACGAGGAAATAAAGATGCGCCTACCTTGGTTTTCGGTAATGCAATGCGAAATTAATGTAGTAATAGTGTGATCTTTCATGTGTAATCTTACAGCGTAGACGTGCGAAACCACTCAAATTCGTTTGCTGGGCATTACCTTCATTATACAATATCACAGTCACTACACCATAATTTGGGCAAACGTTTCGATCCACTCATGCAAGAATCGTCATTCTAAGTAGCTACTTGACTCCACTGTAAGTTCTCTTACTCCCTAAAACAGCAAAGGTAGGCAAATGATCACATGTCGATTGTCACCAAAAAAAGAGCTTATTTTTCGGACTCAATCTCATTGTGAAATTACTTGAGTACATTGGAAAAACGTCCGTTACCAGTGAGCATTTTGGTTCAATCTTTTACTGCGTGGGTATTCTGAAGGAATGTGCTTACCAAGGGCAACATCAAGCGAAGTAGAGATAAGGATGTACGTCGGACTGTAATCAACATAGGCAAACAATCAGCAGTGGCTTAATCTGGAATAAATCATAGGAATTAACTGTAACAGTCAGGCAGTAATACACTCATGGAATAAGCTTATAGATACAGTCGTAAACATGATCATATATAGAAACAAAATGTCTTAGAAGAAAATTAATGTGAGCTTAACATCCGCACAAAAAAGGGAATCTTCGGAATAAATAAATGGGCATGAAGATGTTATCATTTAGGGTTTTTTAGTGAACATTAACAGTTCTACGTCAGTGGATGACAGGAGATTTTAGAATTTGACTTTCTACCTTATGTCTGAGTCATTCGTAGACATAACAGGATCATACATATAAGGTTACTCAAAGCTGTCCGACTAAAAGATTGAAAGGAGTTTGCACGGCACATTTCGTTGAAGAATACACCATAAGCGAGGGATTAAATTAGACCTCCCGTTAACACAAGCTTGATTTGCAAATGAATGATGGTGAATTTCGCTTACTGCAAAATAAGTTGTAACGTGAAGATGATTACAGTGGAAAGGACATAGCACCGGCGTCACTCAGTTGGTCACTCGGCCGGTGATATGACACATGAGCCAGCTTTCACTGACTCTTCGGGCGAAAATTCTTACATCGCGCCACGTACAGGCAGCAAGTCGATGTAAAAAAACTACCAGAAACGGGATCGCTTGTTTCCAGTAAGCAGACCAACTGGTCTAATTACCCGAGGATCAACTGTGTCCGTACGGTGAATGTCAAGGTGATGCGTGGTGCGGGAGTAACGTATGCTTTTTTACCGCTGGGTTGGGAAGTTGCAAACAGTGACAGCATCAGTGCGTTGTGAGTGGAAATAAGTTGAAGTTGTAAGTGGCAAACTTGCAACTTGGTTTTGGAATACATCCACCTGGGTTTCTGTGAGAATACATCTTTTTCATACAAACTGGGCAGTGAATTTTAATTTAGGCCAACAAATATGGCTTAAGGCCAGTTTTTGTTATTCAGCAGATGCTGCAGTGTGACCGGGTCTGATCCAAATTTTTCTTGAATTTAGCCGCATTTCGCTTCTCACACTCAACGTGTTATTGCTTCCAAGTAGAAAACCAAACTTAAATATTATCAGATGGTGATGGGTTGAACAGGTGGATAAGGAGGTCCAGCTATTACAACTCACACTTCTTATGCAGTGATAGGTCTATTTTGGACCTTGATCTATTATCCCTAAACCTTACTCGGTAATGCTCCCGTGGTTTGTTTTCTCTTACAATAAAATACGGTGAACATCAGTCTTCTCACTGCAAGTATTGTTCATCTAGTTAACGGGCCAAACTCCTAGCACAAAACTATATGAAAGCAAATTTGAGATGATCAGCAAGACAAAGGAAACTATGATGTCCCGAAAATGCTTTAATTTTTTGTCTCCAAAAATAGTCAGCCAACTTTGACACGACTGACTATAACTGACCACTGGATAGCTGATGTGTAGAAATATCGGATATGGGTTAGGCAGCCCAGTGACTTAGAATTTGGGCAAGTTAATTCAGAATGCTGTTCTAAATGGGAAACTGTCACTTTCAACTATGCATGCAATTCCCTGTTAATTTCGACCATTTTTAGCTGGGCGGTGCGTGGGTCGTATTCATCGATTTAGTATGCCATTTAGTTTTCCGTTCTCTTCGTTACCTCGCTATCTTTATGGTTTATTGGACCAAAGGGATGATCGAGATCACTCAGCAGATGCTGCAGTTCTATCCTCTCCAAAACGAACGGAAATTGGAACGACCGGCCAACCATAAGCTACATGACTGAATTTATTCATCTACAAGCTCATTGGTCGGGCATGCGAGCCTCTGTCCCACATAAACGCCCACGTTTCCCACCACCCACACACCAACTCTACTTCTATGCCAGATTAGATCGATCGGCTGGTACTGGACGCTTGTGAGTCTGCTATTGGTTCATTCAACTGGCCACGAAAATTGTACTCGGTGTCGCAAGGACGATTATGATCAGAATACCATGCTTGTCACGGATTTCAAGTACACTTAGATGAATTTCGTGAACAGATACATAATCATCTTGATGTTGAGATAAAAAGGCAGAAGAAAGCTTAGTCTACCAGCTATTTCTGACGTACTACAAGTGCTACTAATCAGTGAGTGAGTTCTTCTGTTTAATAGTCTGATAAAAAATGCACATGGATCTTTATCCTAAAGTAACTAAAGTCAGTGCGCCATATTTTCTGTTGAGATTTTCCACGGTTATTTAAGTGAAACTACTGTATGAGGAGCTGATGTTTTCTGGCACAATGAGTTTTTGGGAAATAGTTAAATATAAATAGGGATTTAAAATCACCTTCCTCCATGGGCCACAGAAAGCACTCCCGAGTTTCTTTAGATAGCTTCCACATGAGAAAATGGAATTCAGGAAATTCGGTTCACCAAATCTTTACGCGTTATTCGTTGTTCAACCTCTGGATCGAATTCCATCTCAATGATATCATCCTCTTTATGGTTCCTCACCAGTCGAATGCCTCTAACCGGACATCCTGCAAGGTGAATCAATTACGAGCATATATTACAGTGCACTTATGTCTTTGTGGCCTCTTTTTACCTGATTGGATTTTAAACAAGGAAGTCATACCAACTACTCAAATAAAGCGATAAGGCATTCAGATAAACCAAACAAAATACTATCCAAGGAGTTGAAAGAGACTGAAGCGAATCAGCTGAACAGCTACATTATTCAGTCAGAGGTTTTGCTAAAATTTCACGCCACATGGCGAGTTTCGTTGCAGTGTAATCAGGAAGGACAATAGTAGCAAGTACAGTAAGAAAATGAAACCTACTTTGGTCTGACTTTAAAGCTTGTGGAGTTGCTGAGCTTCGTTCAGCGTCATATGTGTCGCACTGGTCGAAACTGCCAAGTTTTACCACCATTTCTGCTTGTACTGGAAAAATATTCCCTCGGAATCCAGAACTCAAGCAAAGTACATCCACTACGGTAAAGGCGGAAGATATCGTGGAGCTATGAGTGGTTTCTTATTACTCCCAGGGTCGGTGAATGCTCACCCGAGTTCCGAACCCTTCAGTTTGCAGTCCGAGGTTCATGCGGACCATTCTACTGCTATCCAGAAAGGCAAGAAAGGGGGCATGCAGAAGAGACGCCAAAACAGTCACACAGAGGCCGGATACCGATTCGAGGATATGAGGAATGCTCTCCGAATACCACGTCAAACACGAGGCACAAATGAGCCCATAAGCAGGGCCACATAAAGGGAACTAACTTCAGACAACAGACTGTGGCTCCGGAAGGGAACCACGTCGCATGGGACACCAGAGCTCTGTGATATACCTCTGAAGTGAAGGGCACCAGATCCCAGATTGACATGCTCACAGCTCCAGGGAAAGACCGACATTCGACAGTAATTCGATGAGTCACCAAAGACCCGGTTAGTTGAACGCCTTTCTCAAGGACAAGGTGTCCGGAGGCCAGCCGTCCCTAATAACCGAGCAGCATATGTATTGGGCGGGTGTGTTAGGCGGGGCTACGGATCAAACGAAGGCATACCCGGATTGGTCAAAGTGCCAGCCGATCTGTATCGGGCGTATGTAGCTCGACGCTTGTCGCCACCCCCTCCCCAATGGAGATTCCAGCACGATCTTGTGGAACATTCTGTGATTACTCCATGATTACAGCTGCCTTACAAAACCACTGACAGTTTTGGGCGCTGGATATGGTGCTAGGCTAGAGCAACTTAAGGTGAAAAACTGCCGGAGGATCCCGAAAGTGCTTCGTATTCCCAAAATTTGCCATGACTGCACAGGTTCGGTGCTGTCTAAGTGCACGGCCTGAGTGAAACAAAAGACTACCAGTTTAACAAGTGGATCCTTACAACACCCTTTACAGGATCCATTTCTAGGGAATGACTTTTGTGACTAGTGCTGTCGGTGACAGCTGCGGAAGAGTTTTACTTTGCATCAATGCGAAATGTTATTCGTGTGCGGGCAAAATAATCTGACTGCGAAAACCGAAAAAAAAACTACTTCCAATTCGACTGAATCGTAGCGTGTTGAATGTTAGAATATAATCTTTCTAAAGTTACCCCAATATAAAGATAACAAAGACCTTGGTCAAACAAGAACCGGAAAATTCATCAGTGCGTCATCAGTGAGACACCAAACAATATACAGGACAGAATTATGAAATGTATCTGTTCCAACCGCCAATATAGTCACCGTAGTCGTGTTTCCTTTGCAAGTAGCGTATCTACTGGGGGAATTCCGGAAACTGTGCTGTGTTATGGGAGAGCCCTGAACTCATTCAGTTCGGACATGTATTCTCGAAAATTTACAAAGTGTGACATGTGTGGTGTCCTGATACCCAGTAATTCTGAAACGTACACTGGATCCCCGATCTTAAACTTCTCTAAGGTGCTTCTACTGGGGGGACTAAAGCGCTTCTGGGTAGAACAGCAGCTCGCGTACAAAGACAGCTTCTGATGAACTCAGATTTTTCTAGACATTCGTGAGGAGGTGCTGCGACGGGTGAGTAGAGGAGTTTGTATTTATTCTTACGATTCTCCCCTCCACCGTAACCTGACCAACCCTAGTTTGATAGCGTCAAAAAAGCTTAGTCTGACCGTTCTGGATGTAAATTGTGTTCCATTGTCCAGTACTAATGCTTCTAGACACTTAGACTGTTTAAACAGACGTCGGAGGATGGATACTGTTGTGCAGCTAGATGGACTGTTGACGGGGAGAACATCAAGCAAAATCAGGCTCATTAAATTATTACGCAGTTCTGACTATGGGTGTCTGTGAATAGACCAAGGCTCAACAGATAGATGAACTCTCAACCACACGGGCCATACTTGAACGAATGATGGCCCATTCCTCAGTGTGCTCACCTATTTGAGACCAATGAACATACCTGCGGACAAGTGTCTTCGTCCGACTGATAACTGGGTGTCTGGTGTGGACCTGCCTCAGTATTCTTCGACGGAGGGAAACAAGTACAATTACTATAGTTCCGGAGATTAGACACAACCGAATGCCTAGACATAGAAAGAGTTCTTATAAATCAACTGTGAGTTTTTGTTCGGGTCAAGATTATCTCTGTTACCTAGGAAATTGGAGCCGTAACACCACCAACGAGAGAGAAAGAAAGTGACTGGAAGCGCACCAACCAGGTATCATCTGGTTTCCAAAAGCAATGGAGGTGACCCTGGTTTCTCCTTTAGATGAATTATGTAACCTGATTAGTCAGGAAGTAACTCGACTTGTTCAAAGCCGGATTTATGATCATACTAAGAAGCTGAGCAAAGCAAATGCCCCTTGTTGTAATCTACTTGCACAGTAGGCTGGAACCCCCTTTCTTGTACCAAGTATTCGTAAAGGAGGTCAGTGGTTGGTCGAAATAATTAAGTGGCATCTATTAACCATCTTATGAAATTTCCTTAAAGTATATGCACAATACAGTGTTTCATCGGACCAGTACTACTTCTATTTCTTGGTTAGTATCTTGTTCAATGCTGCCGACACAGCCGGCAAAGCAGGTAAAAATGCACTTTGATGGGAGCGTGAGCGATTGCAATTGTATCAGGGCCATGAACTGTATTGGTCAATGTTACCAGAGTTCAGATGACGATCATAATGAACAAAAACCAAATAGGTTTTGAGATTAAAACCATAGTTACGCCGAAGGACAGCATCTAACCGTGTGTAGTTTATGAACTGTGCGTAAAAAAACATCATCTAAGTTTGCCCCCGAGCCCGGTGCACCAGTCAGCATGGCATCTATAATTTTGTAAAAGTGATTTTATCCCAAATGAAATTCCGGTGTACTGTTACAGTCCCCGAAGTGCACCGGTTGTCAGAAGCTGTTTAGGTTTTTCTTATACTTCGCTTCTAAGTAAGCCTCTGCAAATTTTAACTTTGCAAAGAGGTCATCCTCTTTAGCAATCGCGGACGATGTCATTTTACTTTTTTGACCATGACAACTTGGGCGAACCAAGCTGAGCAGTTAGCAAGGGTGATAAATCCAGCTTCTTCAACTCGCAGAAGCTTGTGATCAACAACGGAATAGCAACGGAATAGCAGGGAATCGGCTATTTGAGTAGAAAAACTGGCTTTGTGTTCGGTCCGTGCTGGGCCACCACTTCCATACAGCATCCGAGTGTTTCATCGAAAGTACTTGGGTGATCTTGTGTTAACAGTGACACTACTGTAACACTAAAGCCAAGGTTCGATTTGTGATTGAACTGAGGTTATCACAGATGCTGCTCAGTGTGGTGTCTGAGGGTTAATTTTTCATCCAAACCAAACAGAGACGGTCTACATTACACTCAAAGGGATAAAGGTCCCATAAAACTTGATGTCTCACTAAATAACAGAAAAGTGAACATTACAAGTTATGTAAAGCGGTTACCTGATGCCCTCCTAGCCACACAAGATAAGAAAGAAATTGCGTTAGGTTTATCCAAAGAATATCACATTTCACGAGAAATCAGAATGATATTTGGTGGAATGTCTGGTCGCATATGTGCTGGCCTACCAAATGTTCGTTCCAGTTTGTTGGTGATATCCTGCAGGAGCAATCCTACGAGGCTCTCTGAAGAATGAAATGTGAATACCACTCTACTTCGTTGAGCCTATTTTGCTGAGGGGTAGTCGAGTTTTCCAGCCAGTATAACAGGATGCTAAATAGATTCACGTACCACTGAAAACAAAAACTGGCTGAAGGGCTAAAATCCAACTCCAAGATGCTACCGCAGGTCACATCAAACGCTTTGTTGAGAGCACTATGAATGTGTGGTGACGTCATGATTATTAGAAGACCAGCCAAAGACCGCATGAATTTCAACTGTTATTGAAAGACAAGTTTCGGTTGACACAATTTGCATGGGAGAATAGTCCTCCTCGCCACTGTTACAACCTCTGATGTAGTCACTGTAGTGCACGACGAAGCGCTGTGTAAAAAAGTTGACAACACGACTAATAGGCTGTCAGCCAATCGAGCATCTGTCAGGTCACGCACATTGCTAGGAGGCTATGATTTGAGTTTGAATCGTGGTCTAGTAGCAGAATGGACTCCAGGAGCTTTGTTTCAGGATTTCGGGGAAGACAATAAAGGATCACCACATTCATTATGGGT